TCCAAAATGGTTATCCTTTATTTATTTACTACGACTCCTATGATGAACATGTACGCAAAAATACCCAGGGAAACTACGATTAGATAGAAACTGAAATACGTGAAATTATTATGTGACACGATAAAAGGCGAGGATATATAAGAGCGAGAGATTCAGCAGGGTTTTTTTAAATAGAGTTTGCAGAGTAGAACTAGAATGCAGGAGAGTTTAGAAGTACGGAACATATGTGAAACCAGAGAAAAACAAATTATAACGAAGTTATTATGAACAACAAGACGAAGTTATTATGAACAATTAATTACACAGTACAAAAATGAAGGTTGAAAGAAGGTGAAAAAGGATGAATTACTGAATATGTAAAATATGCTAGTCCTTTATGTAAAACTTACTCAATGGTATAGTGAGTTTGAATGCTTATGATGGAAGGGGTGGAGTAGGATTTATTCAGTGGCGTGATCATGTGACTGTAGGTGATTGCATCCAAATATGGTGCCAGTAGCTTGATTGACAGGGATATAGGGGCGTGGGGCAATTATTGTTATGTAAGGAAAAATATTGATGACATCGTGCAGGGTTTGATTTTATATAAAAATATATGATTAAACATTAACTGAAATATGTACATATATATAACAAAACCAAAGCCAAGATGGTAAATGAATAATACGATATGGCCATTGTTAGTTTATAACAGTTCTAGTGTTGATCTTTCCATGCAGAGGATTCGAGTTAGTACCTGTACATTGTTATTTTAGTATATAGACAGGTACAGGCGGAGCGAACTTTGAACTTTGAACAATTGAATTCGCTGCAAACTGTATTTTTTCAGTGTATAGTCAATCAGCTCAATAAAATGTCGTTGTTTGTGAGTTTGAAAAATTGTAATCAATCAAAAAATCTTGAAACCATAGATGTTTCAGGTTTATCGCAGTATTCGTATATCGATCACTGGTTGCTAAAGATGAAATTAGCGACGGCGGATTTGCTGCTGTGTTTATGCACCAGTCAAAGTAGATCCCGCCCCCCCCCCCCCCTACCCCCGGCAAAGAGGGGATGTGGTGGGGATTTAGTGGCTTTTTGTCATCGAATTCTGTCCCAACCATGTCGGGAATTTGTTGGTTTTTGTCATTCTGCCGAATTACCCCGGGAAGATAGTGGGGATTGTTAGGGATTGTCGGCGGCCATTTTGTACTATTTTGTACCGTTTTGTCCAATGAAATCCCCTGATTCTACCATTTTATACCATGTGACAAAGGTCAAGATGGCATGCTGGCAATCGCAAGGAAGTGAAATCGAGAGGTATTTTATGAATATATTCATTCCTTTTCAATATATATTAATATGTCCATCCATCCATGCATGGAATCTATATTGTTGTGGAAAATTCGACATTTGTTTGTTTATATTAATATGTTTTTGTTGTTCTTTTGAGTTTTGGAACAAAATATTAATATTTTAAAATGTGGACAATTAATGCGGCGGCCCGGAGATTGTCGAGGAGATATTATGCAGGAGATAAATTCGCTCACACGACTTACAATTTCCCCCGGGGGTGGGGCATTTTTTGTCTTTTGCTAGAAAATTTTGTCCCATATTGTGGGGCATTTGTCTGTTTTGGTACGGTATTCAAAGCCAATCCCCACCTATATCCTGGGGGGGGGGGTCGGAGTTTACTTTGACTGGTGCATTAGCATAAATATGAAGTAATCCTACCGGCCTATATTCATATATTCACCCTGGTTGTGTACCTGTGTCACTACATTTCAGGGTATACTATATTTTTCGATAGTGCTCACAAATTCTTTCCTATTATATAGTTATGCAGTTCTGACTGAGTACAATCTTAGTCATTACAAATGAATGGTGTCATCTGAAGCAAATGTACTAAACAAAAATGTCAACAAATAGATTTTGTCTCCCCATCAGCAGATTATTCAGTTGTTCTGTGAACATTGCCTTGAAGGTGCCATTAAAATGATAATTGGGACAAAAACTTATTTCTATATATTAAATTGTTATTAAATTCTACATGTCCAATGATTCATTCAAGTATTATTATTGTTTATGTAGATGATATTGTACAGTATTCAGTGGCAAGCTAGCCATGGCAACTGGTCATGCTATGCTAATAAACCTACAATGCAAATGCCTACAATGCAAATGCATAACTAACAAACTTGCATAGCTTGACCTGTTGCTATGGCTAACTTCACCACTGACAGTATTGTGATTATACATACAAGAAGTTATTAGCATTGAAGGTATTCATATAAAATCACCCATGGCCCATGCCAACAAAGTAGAAATAGAATATTTGGCTGACCTTCGACATTGTGCAAGGTGTTTGGTATTCAAAATGCATTTTTCCTACCCCATGAACAGGTCTTAGGGGCTGTTTACATGCTGGAAGATGGGAAGATTTTGAGTATTGACTATTGAAATAAGTCACTAGGCTAAATGAAACTTCAAATGCTGGTTAACAGAACTGAAATGTTGTAGACCATGATTTATTTCAATACATCGAAATCACCCTGCCTCGTATCTCATCCTGGCAAAGCAGGATCATATAAACAACCCCTTATTCAGCAAATGCACATGCTGGCTTTGATCCATTGGGGATGAGGCAGCACTTTCCTTGCGATAGTAACTTCTAGTTATATTTCTTTATTTTTTTCTGTATGTAATAAGAAAAGAAGAATAACCCCAAAGCCCTAACAATTTAGATACAACAAGAAAATATTTCTTTAAAAAAAGAAATGTTTCGTTCCAATATAATTATAGAAATACTAGACGTCTGTAATTAGCGGTTGTCACCATAGATCACTTGTATATGTCGAGCAATGAAATCGGGCCATATTGCGAGGCGGGCGGGCTTTGGTAATTTTTTGCACGTTTTAATAATTTTCATTACCCCTTAAATGAGCTTCAAAAACCGTTTTCATTGGTCGACAGCGCTAGCCTTCCGCAATGATTTGATATACTCACCTGCTAGATTTGATACCCACCTGCGATAAGCAACCTCATTGGCTAATGACTTCATCGCCTTTTGTTAATGCTGCCATGTCGTAAAATAGCAAAAAGAATATGTGGGGGAAAGTCGAGATTCAGGTTATGTTTTCATGGCACGCAATCACGCAACCTCGCCCAATCCCCATCCCTAACTCTAACCTCCTATGAGATTCATGAGATTCAAAATGGCGTCAGTGTATATTTGTCAATAAAACAACATGATGACTTTAAACCAAGATGAAACTCCTTCCGTAAGATAATAGAACAGTTTATATATTTTGTAAAGTTCTGTTTATGGGACAAAAACGTTACGACACGATTTTCTTAGTTAATTTGTAAATAAACTCATTAATTAATTTTGAAACATTAAAATCGCATAGCGTCTCACTCCATCCACTCCTAGATCACAGGGCCAAATGATGTCCTAAACTTAGTTTTGGAGTTAACATTGCAATTCGTCATTTTTGTCTTTGATATAGGTTGATTTAAAAATGATTGACAGCAGAAAGATTACATCAGAGTCACATTTACGCTACTAAAAATGAACTATTATAAAGAATAGCAAGTGATATAATTTCGTGATATAATATATTTCATGCAGCGTCCCTTTAGTGTCCCTGGCAGCTGAGTTGCCCAAACACAAGAACAATGAAGATAAACAACGTAGAGCCTCCAAGACGAATATCCGAGGTTGAACCGGAGGGTGAACCGGAAGGTGAACCGGAGGGTGAATTTGCTCTAAATGGGGTTGCTAAAGGATAGAATGCGGCAGTGGCAATACCACATTGGTTGCCCTCGTTCCTGGACATTTTGATGTATCCATTATCACCCCACGTCTTACCCCAGCTGTTCTTTACCAGCCAGTAATGTTTACCATTTATAGTGGTATCATAACCAACCACCAGCACGGCATGGTCCAGACTGGTGTTGCTGCAATGTGAATTGCTGTAAACGCCTTTATGGTAGAACTGGAATTGGCAACCGCTTGCATCAATGGCGACTGAGATAGGTCCAACTGTTGCTACTGCATACTGGAGATCAGTGCTCCTGCTCAAAATTCTCATATTCTGATTTCTCCCCAGCAGCTGAGTGATGGAGTATTCTGATTGGTCAGAATATTGATTTGAATTTGTGATTGACGGGAAATTAAACGTATTGATTTGGGAACTGAAATTAAGTAGACATGAGTGAATCATAAAATTAAGGGGATGGGCTCCCTGTGACCAAGTCAGTTTGCCGGTCAATTCAAGGGTGCTGATTTCGAAAATGGACGTTATACGGAGCATTTTGGAGGCCTTCAGCCTCGTTTCCATGTTTAAAGCCTCGCTTAGATGTAAAATTACTAGGGACGATATTAAACATTAAGATGGACTTAAGTCACAGTTAAATGATAGCAAGAATAATTGCTGTTCATTGTAAAACGATGAATTTATGAGACCTTAAGAGACTTGCAGCTTCATTTCTGCGATAAAACCTCTCTTTTAGCGTTTTCGAATGGCGTTCAACCACGGGAAAATTATCGCTCAATCTAATTTTCGAAATGACGGAGATATAAAATACTTTCTCAATAATTATTGTTTATTTTCGCGGGACTTATTGAAGTTATGTATTATGCACTCGTTGAATAAACGCGTTAGCCCGCACCCAGCCAGCAAATCGCAGGGTTCAACACTGAGCTATGTATTTCATTATTATGTAAAGCTAATACATAACTTCAATAAGACCCGGGATGGGCTCCCTGTGACTCCGTCTCATAAATTTCGCTTTTGAGGTACTATTCCCATGTTCTCTCTCCGAATGTGTATGTATGTGTATGTATGTGTATGTGTGTGTATGTATGTATGTGTGAGAGACAGAGAGAGAGACAGAGAGAGAGACAGAGAGAGAGACAGAGAGAGACAGAGAGAGAGACAGAGAGAGACAGAGAGAGAGACAGAGAGAGAGACAGAGAGAGAGACAGAGAGACAGAGAGAGAGACAGAGAGAGAGACAGAGAGAGAGAGAGACAGAGAGAGAGACAGAGAGAGAGACAGAGAGAGAGACAGAGAGAGAGACAGAGAAAGAGACAGAGAAAGAGACAGAGAGAGAGACAGAGAGAGAGACAGAGAGAGAGACAGGGAGAGAGACAGAGAGAGAGACAGAGAGAGAGACAGAGAGAGAGACAGAGAGAGAGACAGAGAGAGAGACAGAGAGAGAGACAGAGAGAGAGACAGAGA